TAGGTAGTTTTAAGACTGAATATATTTATAGGTGTTCCTTAATGTTTTCTATTACATGGCTCTCAAGCCCTAGTAGCTGTGGTGTATGCCACACCACAGCTCCCTTGGGAGAGTGACGCGTCAAAGACCCTACCAAGATCAACCCATTTATGTAGATCTTTATTCTTCTTGCTCAAAGTAGCCACGTTGCGTAAAAGATACTCGAACGCTCCTGCCTGCCCGCCCAAACCTAACTCGGGCAAGACATCGAGGGAGTAATTAAGGTCTGGGTACTTTGCAAGATTCCATCTCTAACCTGAAAATCTTTTAACTCATATTTTAGTCCCATCTTGAAATATCACTGGTTATATGAAGAATGTGATTGGCGTACAGCATCTAATTAAATCACGGTGCCGTGACCAAACCCCTTGCTTGCTTGTGACCACTTTACTCCGACACTGACCCGTGGATGCGGTCATCTAGGGCTCTATGGCTACATTGTTGCGGTGCTCAATGACGAGACGCATGTCCTCCACGGTGCCGATCTTCAACCGAGGTATATAAAGTTGCAATATGCCTTTGGACTAAATATATTTAATGGGCTTTACTTCTCTTTCTCGCAGCTATCAAGCGGCAACAGCGCAACAATATTTCCCAGATAAAAAACAGCAACGAGTACGAGTATTTAAAAGACGAGGTCTCTCGTCGCCTAATCGACCGCCTTGAGGTGCGCAATTAGCCACCGATTTGGTCCGATGAGAGATAGTTCAAGTGTTTGTATTATTGTGTTGTAGGACATCGAGCGAGACTTTCCGTTGGCACTGGACCTCGGATGTGGCAGTGGGCACCTGTACAAGAACTTGATTGTAGACGATGGACTCGGTGGCATCAAAACGCTACTTCAATGTGACTCTGCTGGTGCGTAATCACTAAACGCTGAATTTGGCGCGACATTTGACAGGAGAGTGCGTTGAATCAATCTAGAATCTTTGCTTCTTCGCGATGACCTCAAAACTGGCGACATTACATGTATAAAGCATCGTACTTTGTCAAATTGACCCGTTTAGACAAAAAAGCTTAACATGTTAGTCTCATTTGACAGTGAAGACGTCACGTCTAGTAGCGGACGAGGAATTTTTGCCGTTTCCAAGGCATGAATTTGACTTAGTTATGAGCTCTCTGGCCTTGCATTGGGTTAATGACCTCGAGAACACGTTCCGTCAGGTGCTAAATGTGTTGAAACCCGATGGCGCATTCGTGGCCGCGGTGCTAGGAGGTGACTCGCTTCAGGAGCTACGGTACGCCAGTTTGATAGCGTTCACATCAGTATTATATTAGCACTGACACCAATAGTATCACAGAAGCGCCTTTATTCTCGGCGATCAGGAGCGTCAAGGGGGTATTTCACCGCATATTTCTCCCTTCATGAACATTGGGGATGCCGGTAATCTCCTGTCAGCAACCGGCTTCAACCTGTGCACAGGTGTGACCATATTAAGCCTCTTCTCGTACAGCCGATGCGTGACAAATAACAAAATGTTAATGCTCACAGTGGACACAGATTACATCTGTGTGGAATATCCAAATGCATTCGTGCTAATGGAACATCTGCGTGGCATGGGCGAGAACCACGCCGTAAGCTCGAAAGGTTTGCCAGCCACGCGCGATTCTTTGCTTGCCACTGCCTCGATCTACCAGTCTATGTTTGGTCAGCCAAATGGCACAGTTCCCGCCACATTTCAGGTAATTTATCTCATCGGCTGGGCCCCTCATGAGTCGCAGCAGAAACCGCTACGTCGCGGCTCGGCGCAGCACTCATTAAAGGAGTTAGGCCACGATTAATATAGGGCCTACAAAATTGATGCTTTCAATATTCGAATATCGTTGTGCTACCATTGTTCGTCAACATAAATCGATCCCTAGTTGTTTGCTTCGACTTTGATCTACCATTGATATAATGAATACTGCAGACTTGTTGTGGGGTGTATGTTCCGATGTTAACAAAACGAAACTTCTTTTCTTGGCTTTTGAGGCTATGTAGAGTGCGCAGTATCATCTCGACAATCTATGAGTTGTAAGGGATGGCGTGTATTACTCGCTTTAGAATGTGCTGCTTTGAAAAATATGCGCATTGCTTCGTCTTCAGTGCCTTCATGCTAGACCAAACATTCAACAATAGCTTCGATAGATACTTTAGCGAAGCAATGCCCATGACATGATCCATGACCTTGTTGGTACAAAGTAAGCCTGCACTTCCAGGGTGTAGAACGTGTTGCAACGGCAGCGGCGGTTTCAACAATGTGACGAGACTAAATTCATCGGCTTATATAGGATCGAGCATGAATTGTGCCCCGGTCAGCGTTTGAGATGATGTGAATACATTTTTATCAGCTTTGATTACTCGTGATGGTAAACGTTGAAAGGAGTACCGTCAAGGGTGAAAGAGGAAATTTTTTACCATGCTTAGAGTTGTTTGCCGTAAATCTCTCATCACTTAAAAAGATACGGGGATATCTGCCGTGGTCAAATCTGCTGATTCTGCTGAAAACGCCCGACGAAGTGCTTGCACAACTTCCCGTTTAGAATTCCGATGCGGTTTGCCGGATCGCGTGTACTTTCTTTGATGCGTCCTCTGAAGATCATCATAGCGAGAATTGAGATACCGCGTACGTTTGCCAGCTATGCGAACTTCACGCCATTCTTCTTGTTTGTGAAGCTGTTCTTGATACTTGCGCCAAATTTTTGCCGCTTGATAACGCATAAAATCCCGCTTGCAAAATATCACTACCGTTCTATTCTCCACGCAAGAAGGATCAGGTGCAGGAGAACCATGATTTGCCGTCAATGTGGTATCTCTTCGTAATTCGGGGATCAACTGAAGATTTTTATACGACGGTGCTGCATCACAAGATTCTTGCTTAGGAATTTCTGATGTCATTCCCCGATATTGTGCGGTAGGCAACTTTGCTCTGCGTCTTTTCTTTGATGGAGCGCCGCCATTGCCGCTAAAGATTTGTTGTGAACGTTCCAAGCGGTGTTGTTGCCTTTTCAATGTCGCACCAGTCACTTTACCAAACCTTTTCTCAGCATATCTCTGGCACTGACCGACAATGTGAGATTTAATAGCAGTTGGCTGAGAGCATGCAGGTGCAATTTTACCTCGTGCCTCTTCACGCTTAGCTATAACCTGCAGTGCACTAGTGCCTAAGACTAGCCGATTATCCGCCTGACGCGTCGTGGATGATCGTACCGATGCACCCATCCTTTGATTTTTGGAGCATTTTGATGTGTCAGGAATAGCAGCATTTGTTGTTCGGTCCGGCTCTCTTGTTGACTGCGATTGCAATGGATTTGGCTTTAAAATTGAGAGGTCATTCGTCTCTTCCTCCATTTGGGCAGCTCGAGACTTCTTATACACTTGATACGGAGGAGTAAGTTGCTTTGTATTTAGCGCTGAAGCACCTTGAGAAAGCAATGTAGAACCCTCTCTCAATTTGGTGTTTTCAACGAAATGCTTAGCAGTTGAAGGGTGATGGGATCGCTCAGATTGTTGCTGAGGTCTTTTCTGGTATATGAATGGCATTTTCTTCAACAGCATTCTACGATTATCAAAATCTCGTTTCTGTTTGCCTCCCCTTTTTCGACTTTTCGCCATGTCTACCTTGACAGATTTATCGTCCCCATTCAGGAGGTCTTGAATAGTAACATGGCGAGTTGGCTCCGATGCTAGCGAAATTCCTGGAACTATAATGGTTCTAGTGGATGATAGCGGCACGTGTGGATTATACACGTGTGTTTCTGTCGGAGGATGAACTTGAGTTTTAGTCGTGACGAGATTAGATATGAGCTCATTTCTTTGTGTAGCAGCATTTCCAACATAAGAAGTACCAGTAGCTGGAGAAATCCCAATTTCAGGTCGCACACTCGAATGGAATTGTTTCATGATTTCGTTTAAAGCAAATTCACTAGGATAAGACTCGCTTGCATTCTGTACTAGATTTGCCACGTAATGACAATGATGGTTCCGTCTGGTCGAATGATAAGGTTGTGGCTGCTGGCCGTGGCTTTTTTTAATTTGTGATTTCGGTATTAAATTGATCGAATCTTTCGCGAACAATACTGCACTTGTGTTATCCCACTGCTGTCCATGATTCAACAGCGTTCCAGAGGGTTGAGTCTGCAGATGCGATTGAGATAGCCGTGGAACTTGCTGTGGTGATAACACAACTTCATCTCTGCTCATCGGCAATTCGACTAAAAAATTACCTTCGCAGCCTGCTCCAAACAAAGGAAACGGTGTTGTGGTGTCACTTGAAAGTTGCTGGCACTGAACAAACCTTCGATTAGTTTCAGGTCTCAGTCCTTGTGTAAGTATATCATCATTCCACGTCAATTGCTCGATATCATTCATGCCAGACGTATAATGGAATTCGACCATTTTCCTCTGGTTCTGCACCTTGTGCCCTCTCGGCATCTGAGCCTGCAAATGTAGCTGCATATCCCACTGCTTTTGTTGTTGCTCCTGCGCCAACAACTCCCGCTGCTGTTGCAGTTGACGCCAGTCATTGTTATCTGTCGAAGGAATTTCCACAAGTAGCGGTGATACATCACTGTGCTGGACTGACAAGGGAACCGTCGGATAGCCGGCGGCGTTCCGTACACCAAGAGGATGATGCATCGCATTGTCGTCACTACACGGCTGGCGTCGCAACGCAGCTGGTTGGCGTTGTTGATCGAGAGGCCAGCGATTTTGAGTTGGCAATGGCTCCGTACGATAGAAGGTTCGTGTCGTCTCCTCTTCGGACAGCGATACTAGCGTCCCCCACGCTGGGTCGGCCATCCTTAGCAATATGCTCTCGCAATCATTTCAGTACACTTATTCAGTTTAAAGACTATTACAGGTCTCTCACTCCCATCTCTATGTATGGACAGTATGGAAATGTGGCGAAAAATTTCTCCATCAAAGTACCTTATAGTATTGTTGAAGTCCTTTGATACGCGATCTCCGTCAAAGTTAGGCTGCATAGTGCAGAGAGATGTGAGTTCTCGCATTGTTTTTGAGCTACATGTGTTAAGTGGGTTTTAAGGTACCCATACAAATCGCGTATATGTCGTGTGCGCTAAAAGAGGTTTTCACCGTGAGCGTTGACACTGAGTGTCGTAAATGACCAATTTTGAGCTGTCGCTTTGCACGAGCTCCTTGAGTATTTACTATGTTTTACAGCAAATATAGTGAGTGCGTATACTAAGTAAGAAGCTGTGTAGCGAGTAACCCGCTACACCTGGTTACTCTTGTTGCAGCGGGGCTACCGTAGCTCTTTGCTAAGAGGAAGCTTACTAAGGTCAGAGACCTTACGTTTTATACCAAAACCAGTACGAGTGCAGCGGATCGCAAGCCGCTACCTCCAAAAGTACCCAAAGCCTGAACCAAGGCAATTACACTCTTCCGTTCAGAATTGAAGTATTTATATGTTTTGTTTGCGGCAGAGCTGCCTTTATCTAAAATCTCAGGTTGTCCTAATCAAATAGTAAAACCTAATTAATATGCATAACCCCGCCACATAGTGGTTTCTTGTCACAGTGTAGCCACACCATGTTTGATTACACCGACTTGTATAATCCACACCTTTGTATTGTCACACCATTTTGTGTGATCAACCCTTTCATACCAGTGTACGTGGAACCCCGTTACCCCCCCATCAAAATTGTAATACCCACAATGCACAATTAACTGTCGCCTCATACGAGGCTAGCGTGTCTGAGACACCGTTACGTCCTTAAAACCACTTTCACGCATTCTCTGCTTGCGTCTATGACACGAATAACACCCAGCCTCGCTGGTTCCGAGGCTGGCAGAGCGCTTCGGCACGTGGTGCATCTCTGGAAAGTACACCCGCGGCTTCACGGGAAGCACATCCCCTCGGTAACCGGACGTCACACATCGCGCCTGCCACGGGCGACGGATCTCCTTGTTGGGGATTCGAAGAAATCGACTACGAATCGGATTTTTGTTCCCCAGGATGGGAAGAAGAGGAGGGCAAGGTGCGCCAACGGCGTGACGTGGACCCTGCTCAAACCTTGCGGACACCGTGTCCGTTTCCCAACCTCTCGACTTCCAGGGAAGTGGTATTATTACAAATCGCGTCGACGAGGAACAGGAACAGCAGTTGGAGGCTGTCCATATGGCGGCTCTCATGCGCTCTTATCCACGTTTGGTCCTTGACCCTCGTGTGGAATACGGCTTTTGCTCGGCGAAATCCGCTACTGAAGTGAGAGACGCGATCATTTGATCGTTAGGTGTCTACGTAGTCAGACCCTTAGCCACTACACAAGCTGAGCTTAACCAACGAAAAGCTCTCCGAGCTCGCTTCTTGGTACCTCAAGAAATCCCATGGATAGGTACCACGCTCGACTTCGCGCTCAAAGAGGAGGCGCTCCTTAACCCGCAATGCGGACTATTTCTCTGGAGCTCACCCCTGGAGAAACCGCTGCAGATGATGAGGAGAGCGCCTTCGCTGTTGGAAACGGAGATAGTTGAACTCCGTGCTCAAAACCAGTTGCTGGTTCAGCTTCTGGGTGGCCGAGCGCTCCATTTGCAGACCGACGGTCAATTGCGTCGCTGAAGACGTATTTTGCAGCGTCTGCGCTGAGACGCCAAGCTGCCACTCGTAGACTTTGCTCTGAACAATGCAGTGCAAGCGTCTACCGGCTACACACCATTCTACGTGAACGGGCTTGTTCATCCTCGCATCCCGCTGACGCCGCCATCCCATGGCTCAGGGCTTGATGGAGGAGGAATAGCTGACCGGCTAGCCGATGTCAGCCCCATCACTGTTCGTAAAGAAGTCGTAGACTTCCTGTCTACCAGACTGAATGTCTTACGACACATTCGCGATGCGATGGCTGAAAGCCAAGACATGCAGAAAGAATATGTAGACGAAAGAAGCAGAAGAGATGCTAATAACTCTGAGGTTGGAAACGTGGCCAAGCAGGCCCTTGCTTATACGATGAACCTTCCAAAACGGATGCGCACCCACCTGATGTTTAATGTGGGCTTGCTTAAGCCGCACCATGATCCGGCGTAAGTGATCGCAGATGCGTTGGCGCCGGAGCGGCGTCCAAAAGCGCTCGACCATGCAGAAGCTGGACCAGCAAGTGGTTTTCAGCACGAATTGCAACAATCTCCATCTCCAACGGTGCCAGGCGCTCCACCGTCGCACGAACTAACACATTCGTCTGCTCGCTCTGACAGAGCTTGATAGTCTTTAACGTGAGACACTCGGTGCACAAAGTGCTCCAAGCTCTCTAGGTCTTGCGCACAGCGGTAGGTCCGATAAAACGTGGACGGAGCATTCACTTCAAGATAGCCGAGACTGCATGTATAGGAAGGTTTTTCGCATTAAATGAAACCAGGTCTCCGATCTTAGAGTAAACTAACATTTCTCCTGCTTCTTCCGTCTGCATATTCTTTCTGCATATCTTGGCTTTCTGCCATCGCATCGTGAACGTGTCGTAAGACATTCAGTCCGGTAGACAGGAAGTCTACGACTTCTTTACGAACAGTGATGGGGCTGACATCGGCAAGCCGGTCAGCTATTCCTTCTCCATCATACCTGAGCCATGGGATGGCGGCGTCAGCGGGACGCGAGGATGAACGAGCCCGTTCACGCAGACCGGCGTGTAGCCGGTAGACGTATGCACTGCATTGTTCAGAGCAAATTCTACGAATGGCAGCTTGGCGTCTCAGCGCAGACGCTGCGAAGGGCGTCTTCACGGCGTGATTCACGCGCTTAGTTTGACCATCGGTTTGCGAATGGCCCGCTGTTGACATATCCATCTTAAACTGGAAATTGTCAACCAAAACTTCCCAGTGAAGCGTGGACTTCTGTCAGAGACAATTGACGCGGGGGTCCATGTTGTCACGACCGACAAACAGCGTTGCTTTACTCACACCGTCGATTGTGTCCGGCACTACCGCAACATGAACCATCTTGCTCAAACGGTCCAAAAAGACCACCACACCCGTGTTGTTCGCCGAGTCCTTCAGCATGTCAAACACAAGGTCCAAACTCATAGACTGCCAACACCCGGAGGGTACCGTTAAACTGGCCTGCGGCGCGGCCGCATTCAAAGAGGGTTTCACTCTTTGACACGTCTCACACGTGCGTACTTATGTGCTCGCCCATTTGTACAGCTTGGACCACCAGTAGTGGCCAATAACAGAGCTGTAGGTCATCTCACGACCGATATGACCACTTAGTGGGGTCGTAAGCCTCTTAGAGGAAACGGTACTTCAAATCCTCATCGTGAGGAACCACAATTTGTGGCGTATCCGTCGAGTCGGTGCTATAAAACAACAATCTTTTATGCAATGAATATCGGTGCATCTGTGCGCGCACTCACGACGAAATCTTCTTGTCAAAGTTTTCAAACTCCTTGCTCCCGAGAGCCCGTAGCAACGCAACGCACATATCATCACCCACACACGCGGCGCGAATCAAATTCGTTACTGATGAAGTCACCGTCGTGACATGATCAAGTTCATGATTCGGTCTGCGTGACAGCGCATCCACTACAACATTCTGCCTTCCTGGATTATATTTCACCTCGCAGTTATATTCGGCAAAGAAGGAGAGCCACCTGGCCACCCTCTGCGAGCGGTGAGGCAACTGAGTCGCGGTGCATATTGACGCATGATCTGTGTTGGTCACAAATGGCTTCGAGCCAAGCAGGTGCACTTTGACTTGACAAGTGCATACTATATCGCAAATAATTCCTTATCGTGGACTGGGTAGTTTTTACCGCAGCGTTTAGCTGGCGGGATTCGATCGCTACCACCCGATTTGGCCCCTTGGCGTCTACTTGCAGCAGTGCACTGCCGAAGGCAAAGGCCGAAGCGTCACAGGCCACACTAAAAGGACGATCGGGGTCTGGCAACACCAGTATTGGTGCATGAAGGCGGCTGTCTTTAACCCTGTCAAAACCTCCCAATGCTCAGTGTCTCAACACCATTCCGTATCCTTCCTAAGGGGATTCGACAATGACCGCGCCATTTCCGCATAATTCGCGCTATACTTGTGCAAGTAGTTGACAAGGCGAAGCCACTTGCGCAAGTCCTTTCGGTTCTTTGTAATCGGCCAGTCCACAGTGGCCTTGACCTTTGCGGGATCCGCTCAAAGGCTACGCTTCCCAATGAAGCACCCTAAAAAGGGGATTTCTTTAGCACCATAGATGCACTTGTCTGCGTTAGCATACAGCTTCTTCGTGCGCATGTACTCGAGCACCGCTCTCAAATAACCAATGTGGTTTTCTCGTCTGTCCTCCTGTTTTCCGCACGACTGAGGACGAAGATGTCGTCGAAGTATGTTTGTGCATACACCCGGTCGGGCCTGATCAACTGCGTCACAAGACGAGGGCTGTCAAACGCACCAGCAGCATTAAATCGAGGCATCACCAGCGACTCTCAGAGCATTCCGCTTAGAATACCCACCGCTGTCAGAGGAAAATCACTCGCTCTCATGAGCAATTACCTATCGACCAAGTCGAGTTCACTGTACTTAATGGATCATGGTGCTCCAACCATGCCATACCAAAGATAAGGTCCTACCTTGCATCCAAGTCTAAGACTAAGCAGCGTTCCACGCTATCAAAGTCAAGAAACTTGATACCGAAGTCCACAGAGACCCTCAGCACAGTGACACAAGTCCCCGACGCTAAGCGAACAGTGACGGTGTCACGCAACCGCTCTTACAGCGCCTCAGCATGCGACTAACTACCTTCAATCGTAGAGCGTTGAGCATAATTACCCGACGCCCCGAAATCGATAAGGATCTTCCATGG